AACTTTTCAATGGAAGGATTGGAAAAACATTTTTAAGAGAAAAAAAAAATGTTTGTACTATTTTTATCAGTTTAAATGTTTTTACATAGTTTTTTCTCTTAAAACTAAAAACTTTGACTTACAAAGAATAGTAAATATTTTTCTAAAAATATATAGAGAATATTCTATTCATAATTGAAAGTAACAATAGCAGTATTACTAATTATGATAATACTACTTACTGAACACTTTTTCAGATTTCTTCAGTATTTTTTACCCTTAGGTTATATATCCAAAAAGATATATGTTCAAAAATGTGTTTTGAAAGTTACTGAAAAATAAGTATATATTCTCTGTGTAGTTAGACCACTATTTGATATAAATGTGGATCAATTGTTTTGGTTTAAAGAAATGCTTTTTATTTTTAAATTTATTTTACATTATGTAAAATATTTTCCTGATCCAAGATAAAAATTAGAAAAGGGATATTCACAGAAATTTTATCATATACCTGGTCCACTTCTGTCCTCTCCCTTCCTATACAGGTAACCATTTTTAATGGTTTTAGATCTTCTGTGATGTTTGTATGCGTGTATAGATGTGTGCTTATTCGTATTGTGGGGTTTCTTTTTTTTTTTTTTTTTTTTTTTTGTAGCAGGGATTGAACCCAGGGGTCCTGCTTAATCACTGAACCACATGCCCAGCACTTTTTAGATTTTATTTAGAAACAGGATCTTGCCGAGCTGCTTAGGGCCTTGCTAATTTGCTGACGCTGGTTTGAACTCACAATCCTTCTGCCTCAGCCTCCCCAGCTGCTGGGATAATAGGTGTGCGCCACTGTATCTGGCTTATTCATATTCTTTAGGCCCTATTTTTTAAAGGTATTCTTGGGATCAGATGTTATCTATATATAGATATTTTGTTCATTCCTCCTCTACAAATTCTTCAAATTGATTAGTATCTAGTTTATTTCCAGTTTTCAGTAACAATCAATGTCCTTAGGTATACACTTTTCTTAAAACTAATTCTTGGACAGGTTTTCAAAAGAGACACTGTTCAAGCAAAGGACAAATGCAATTGCAATTTTGCTAAATAAGAGGCATAATTTTAAACATGTTAATATTTTAATATGTTAATTTTTCCAAGAAAACATATAGGAATTTTAGAAAATTTATTACAGAGAAAGAAAAAAACTCATTTTTTGATCCTATTTATAAGAAACAATTTATTGGTGGAATTTAAATTATTAAATCATGCATGATTTTTGGTATAATATAAACAAGAACACAACAAAAATTTTAACAATTTTAGTGGTGTCCCACCCATTTTCTCTTAGGAAATAATATAACAACCGGAAAACTTAAGGCCATCTATCTATATGTATACACACTATATATGTAATTGAGGATAGACAGAGAAAGAAAAAGAGAGACATAATAATTTTCCCAGGAGAATATTTATGATTTTAATAAATTGACTAGCTTTTTAATTAAGTCAAAATAAGTTATTGTATTGTCTTTTAAATAAATCCCCTTACTCATCACCCTGCAATTTCACACAACAGAAATGGGAGTACAGATAGTAGGGTCTATGTTAGTATTATTTGGAATGATTTTTAAAAGTCTTGGTAAATTTGCAATTTTGTCTCCTTGGGTTTAATATACAATTCAATTTTTTAAGTTCATAATGAAATGTATTTTCCAGTTCTTTGTATGATTATATATGTTTAAAGTACATGATTCTGTCTAATGCTACTTGAGTTACTATCACCTTCTGAAATTAGGACTAGCAACCCTAAGAACTGGGTGAATCATATTTGTTTTTATATCTTATATACTGTAAGAATTCAATCTCATAAAAAGGTGGACAGTAAATTAAAAATAACAGGTTAACATTTGAATAGCAGCAAGTTATGTATAAAGAAGTAACTTGATTGATACAAGTTCAATGAAAACTGTGATTGAATCACTATTGATTTGTTTCCTCATGCTCCCATATTATTCTTCAGATAGAACCATAAAGACAATAACCATTCATAAGATGACATACAAGAAAATGCTTAAAATTGCTTCCTCTCAATTTTCAGGCAAAACGAAGCCTTGGCATCTTCTTTTTCTTCCCCTTCTTCAATGCTAAAGTCAACAAAATAACAATCAACAACATATGTCTTTGTCTGCAGGCTCACGTTAAATCACCTTTCCCAGTATGCTTCAAAGCTCACCTCATCTTATGTTTATTGATGACAAAAAATTCAGTTAAGTTCTTTATACACTCAGCTTATAACCTTCTTCCTTTAAAAATACTAGTATACAGCTACTGTCCAGTATAAACATTTGGACAAAATAGATCAGCACGTAAGTGCTATTTATGTAGAACTGGTCTAGAAATGGCAATTTTCTATTAGTAAAATGGATACATAAAATATAATTTTGCTTATGAATTATTTATAAAGTTTATTTAAAAACTGAGTAAGAAAAAAATCACTACCTTTTGCACAAACACGTGTGCAATCCTTCATGTTAATAAAGTTATTGTCATTCCCTCCACAGCCACTATAGGTGAAAGCCACGCAAGTTTTGTATCTTGTATTAAAATAATAGCGAGTCACATTAGCAGAACACAGACCCTCATCTTTTGGGCTGTAGCAAAATATTGGACCTTTATGAAAAAGAAAATAAAATTAGAAATGCTAAAATACAAAAATTAATAAAAGGTGATGACTTCTGAAGTAATCTAATCCCGAAGAGGCTTCATTCTGAATTCAAAATATCATATTAAGCCATTTGAGAAGATGAGTCTCAAATTACAGGTAAACTTGTGTGCCATCTTTTGATGATTCTAATTTTGTAAACTGACAGAATTCCTTCTGAATGCCTTTCATCCTTTAAATATGAAAAGAAATTAAACGCCTAAACCAGACATGGTCAAGTAAAAAAATTCCCTAAATTTTAAAGTGATAAAACGTGACATACTTTGGTGAACTTTTTTTGTGTTGGTAGTTTTATTTTAAATGTTTTTATCAGCTCTCCTTCCATTATTAATCAAGATTATATACAATATGTGAGTGTGTGTGTATATTCCCAATTACCAACCATTGGAACAACAACATCTACATAAATGACTTAAGAGAACATCAGCAGCAACCATTTCCCCCTTTTGCATATTTACTACACTATAGCTACATGGCTTAATCAAATTCTCTGCCAAAGCATAATTTCTTGATGACTGAATGTATCTTTGGTATGTCTGGGAGAAATGCATGTATTATTTCTTTCCACAAAATTAAAATACTTACCAAGTCACCTATGAGTTTGAGGATGAGGATGTGGGTTGTAAGAAAAAGAAAAAGGGAAAAGGATAGAGAACTCTTGGTGAAGCAATTTGTAATTCCTAAAGAATACAGAAATCTAAGTGAAATCTGAAGTCTGTATATATTCCACTGTTTCATATGCAAACCTGATTCCACACAAAGCTTACCATCCATCACTTACCAGCCCTGAGAACTTGGCAAATCATTAACTTCTAGATTATACTATAATTTTTAATATATAAATTGAGAAATGCAGGTTGAACATTCCTTATCCAAAATGCTTGAAACACGAAATGGTTTTACATTTCATATTTCTTTGAATTTTGGACTATTTTCACACACATTCACACATATAAGATATCTGGAAGAGGGAACCCAAATCCAAACATGAGATTCACTTCTTTTCATATATGCCCTATATGCATAGCCTAAAGGTAATTTTATATATTTTATTTAATGTGTCTGTTTTTTTGAAGGTAGTCCATCACAGGAGGTCAGGTGTAGAATTTTCCACTTATGACAACATGACAGTGCTCAAAAAGTTTCCTACTATGAAGTATTTAGAATTTCAGAGTTTTGGGTTAATCAGACATGCTCAACCAGTGGTTTTAAAGAGACAACACAGAAAAGGAAGCAAAAGTTTGAATAATGGCTCCATCACTTACCAGCCCTGAGAACTTGGCAAGTCATTAACTTCTAGCTTATATCCTCAGAAGTAAAAATCGGGACAAAATACTTTTTCTCATGACAAGCATTCTTGAGGTTGATATTACATTATATATGAAATCACCAGGACCCAAACCATCTTAATTTCACATCAACTTATTGATTTTTTTCCATCGAAAAGTCTTGATAGAAAAATGAAATAAAAATACCATAAAACATAGTACATACTTTTCTTTGGTGCACAGAAGTCCATACAAGAAGCTTTATCAGAGAACTGGTTTCCATTACGGTTACAACCAACAGACATGAATTTTTCACATGTCATGGTCATTAGATTGAAGAAATACATTTCTCTGGGCTCCTCACATATATTCTCATTGACTTCCAACCGACAAATGTGGGGAACTTCTACAGAAAAAAAAGCCAATAAAATAATGTTGGTCAAAAGTAGCCTTTTGGTCAATGTTGGTCAAAAGTAGGCGCTGAGGATGCAGCTCAGTGTTGGAGTGCTTATCCACCATGCACAAGACCCTGCTCGTTCAACCATATGAAGCAAAATCAATCAAAATTTTACTATGATTTAAGAAAACAAATTGGGGGAAAATAATCATTTAGTACTGGAAGAGTAAATCCCCAGAAGACTGTCCATTAATCTAGTGATTTGACTTGTTTTAAAGAGTATATTCAGATTTGACTCAGTTGTGTTGTATCTTTGAAGTTCAGAGGAAAGACTCCCTGTTCTCTAGTTGTTTCTACATATAAAGTTAATCAAATCATGTTTATATGAATACCCATGCCCCCTGCTCAGAGTCTTAAATGGCAAAGCCCTGATATAGTCCTTGAAGAGTTATAACAAACAAGTAAAACTGGACAGAGTTTTGTAAATCACCATATCCCTACACTTAACACAAGACAAGTTTATTTATCAGGACAAAAAGTTACATAATGAGCTAAATCACAATAATAAAATCCACCGCTGGCTGTGGTAGTGCATGCCTGTAATCCCAGCGATTTGGGAGGCTGAGGCAGGAGTATCAAAAGTTCAAAGACAGCCTCTGCAATTTAGCAAGTCCTTAGTCAATTTAGCCAGACCGTGTCTCAAAATAAAAAAAGGGCTGAGGATGTGGCTCAGTAGTAAAGCCTCTGGGTTCAAGTCCTAGTAACAAATAAATAAATAAATAAATAAATAAATAAATTGAAAACACTAAAAATATTTTAGATTGGGTAATTGACACAAGGAAATAGTGTTCTCAATGAGAGAAAAAAGCACTTATGTTTCACTTGATACATTCCCTCCCCACACCTTGTGTTTTGGGTACCAGGGGTTGAACCCAGGGGCTTTTAACTAATGAGCCACATGCCCAGCCTTTTTTTTTTTTTTTTTTTTTTTAATTGAGACAGGATCTCGCTAAATTGCTTCAGGCCTCCCTAAATTACTTTGGGCCTCGCTAAATTGCTGAGGCTGTCTTTGAATTTGCGATCCTCCTGCTTCAGCCTCCGGAACCAGCCGTTGGGGCTACAGGCATGCCCCACCGTGCCCTGTTAATTCCCTCGAATTTTTGTGCCCCCAGTTGAACTAACCTCTTTCCCAGAGTCCGCGCGGGCACTGAATTGTGATGTCAGTTAGGCGAGGGAAACTGTATAGTGGTTGTAGATTTGTGATCATTTTCGGAAAACTAAAAGCCAAGTGGGATCTGCTTAACATTTGAGGAATTTTAGGACAAAATTTAGCGGAGAAATGAGATCCGGTGAGTGTGTAAATTGCCCCCAGCCCTCAGGGGCGACGCGGGCGGGCGGGAGGAGTGAGGGACATTGCCAGGCACTTACTCTCGATCCTCCTGCAAGCTTCATGGCAGGCCGCCCAGGTTTCGAAGTTGTTGGCGTTGCCCTTGCAGCCCCCATAGATGAACTGGCGGCAGCTCTGCGTGTACCTGTCGTAGTAGTAGCTGGGAATTCGGGCCCTACAGGGCCCTTCGTCGGGGGGCAGGAGGCAGATCTCCGCGTTATTTCCTAGGAGGGGGCAAAAGGAGGGCAGAAGAGAGCGGAGGGAGTCAGACACCGCCCCTGGGAGGCGGAGGCTTCCCGGGGAGTTGGGTCCCAGCAACTGTCAACTGGGACGCCGAGCGGGGGACGGGGGAAAGCCGGGCCAAGAGAGGGGCCGAGGGGTCCAGGATGGCGGGCGCCAAGAACCGCTTCTGGACGGGGCCAGATACCTATGTGCTCCTGAACCAGGTGGCCGGGGGCGGCCCCGATCATAAGCAGGGGCAGAAACATCAGCGCCAGGCGGCCAGTCGAGTCCATAGTGCCGGTCCGAGCGAGCAGCGGGACTGGGCGTCCCAGGACAGCGCAGGCGGACCGAGGTGCGCGGCGTGCCACCGTCTGGCAGCGGGTGCCGTTTTTATGCGGGGCGAGCGTCCGATCGACCCCCCCAGGAGCAGAGCGCGCATGAGCGGAGCCACGAGGGGCCCCTGACTCACGAGGCAGGGAGGTGACCCACCCCCACCTCCACGCCCCCACCCCACCCCCACCCGGCCCAGGCTGCTAAGTGTGTAGTGGGGAGAGGAATTCCCCACCAAGTTGAAAAGTTCAACCTGCCTCCCAAACTTTCTCTTGCAGCCAGAGGGGATGCCCAGAGTACGTGGAGGGAAGTCGGAAAGCCAAAGGGAAATGACCTGTGACTGATTGCTCAATATTTCCAATTTGCAGCCTCGAGGAAGCCTTGAATCCACATCTCGGGAGCTTGGAGTGCACGTCTGAGAAGGGCTGAGAGAAAGTGTGAGTCACTAGCCACGGGTCTGACCAGAGAGGTACAATGGACTCTGTAGATTGGATTCATAATTTCAATGTACTTATATCTGTATTTCGATTGAATTCTAATTTACATTTAAGAAAATGCTCATAATGTATCTTAAGTGTTTAGATTTTCACAACTGTATATCCACAACTTCAAACAAGAATTAGAATATTTCTCTCATCTCAGAAAGTTCTCTCATACCTTTCCCAGAGTCGATCCATCCATCCCCAGGACAGGAGCAACCATTTCTGATTTCTGTCATCATATATTAGTTTTGCCTGATTTTGAATTTCATAGAAATGGAATCATAAAGTATGTACCATTTGCATTACTCTTGCTCAACTATTATTTTTGAAATACACCCGTGTCATTGTGTCAATAATTCATTCATTTTAATCCAATATGAGACTATACCACAAATATCCTGTTGTTGATTATATACAACAAATGTACTGTTTTTCTAGTTTGGGGCTGTGAAGTAAATGTGTGGATATGCAATTTTTATTACTCTTGAATTGAATACTTAGAAATATTAGAAACTGCCACACAATTTTCTGAAATGGTTGCATTGTTTTACATCCCCATCAGCCTTGTATAAGAGTAATAGCTATATGCTTTTGGGAAAGGAGCATACAAGTCCAGAGAGGTCCTTTTGAAGGATCCCGAGAAATTGACCAGATCAGCCCCTCCCAATTATTGCCTTAGGTCAGTACATCTGTTAAAAGTTTGTTACTTTTTAATATAAAATCCATATTGAGATGTTAGATGAAATGATGAAGATATTTTAGGATGGTAGTTTAAAGGTTTCTCTTGAGAAATGTGTCTTCCCTTCCTCCCCTTTTCCTCTTTGTATTTGACATTCTCTAGTTAATAATTATTCCTGACTTTCCATGGAGATACTGAAGGGAGTTGAAAGAAGTTCTCTTCCAAGTTTCTGGAAAACCCTGAAAACTTGCTCATAGTGGGTCAGTAGTCTGGGATATTTTGCACATCATGTCCTTTGTGTCAGTTTTCAACAGCCCTGACATCATACTGTAGAATCATATTCCTCAAAATAGTAACCTGTTCTGGAAATACTGTCAGTTTTGATTACCAGATATCTGTGATTAAGAATGATGGTCAGATCTATAAGAGTAAATGCCTAACTACAAACTCTCAAGGAGCAGGGAAAGGGAAGTTTGTATAGTTTCCATGGTGTAATGCTCTCATTATGACCAATTCCAACGGCCACTGCAGTTACCAGTGAATAACAGAGTCGGGTAGAGATGGATATAGTCAATTCTCCAGAGTCACCAGAGCATCATCCACTGAGGCAGCCAGTTTTGGAAGGACAAGAATCAGATTAGGACCTCCTAATACCTTCCAAATACTATTAGTGGAGGGAGATTTTAGCAAACATTTAGCCAGGATCGTATTTAGAAGAAAAGTTAGCTTCAAGCTTACTTGTTCCCATTGTTCTGAATATAACAAAACATATCTCCTAAAACAGACATAAATAAAATTCAAAGATTGATACTGAATCAAGAGTTGTTACTTGGTATTGACTAATGACATTTATTTCTCTTCTTTGTTCTCAGCTACTGGAAATTTTTTGATCATCTACTACTCATATTTTTTTTAAAAAAAATGAGCCTGAATCACAGCAAATATTTTGGGAAATTACATGTTGTATTGGAGAAATAGGCTTGGGAGTCAGAGGACACGTGGATTTTATTCCTTGCTCTTTTGAACAAGTTAAACTCTCAGAGCTTCAGTTTCATTCTCTGTTTAAAAAAAGAAAAGGCATTATTAATCACTCTACCACACAGACATGTTATGAGGATTAAATGGAAAGTGCTTAAGTATCCAAAAGACATTCATTCCCTTACACCATGGCATAGAGTCATCCGAATCATTCCCTATTCCATTTCCCATTGGGAAGCCTGGAACAGTTTATAGATGGTACATTGATTCTAATTAGGAAATAAAGCAAGTTGAACTGGACTTGTAGGACCGAAACCTGTGGCCTTGCTCCCATAGGCTCTTCTTGGTGAAGCTCGGAAGCCACCCCTGTACCCAGCAGGGGTCACACCAACCAGACACCATTTCGTGGTAGTTTCTTTCAAGAGAATAAGCTTCCAGGTGCTCTCAGTCAGAGCAGAATACTCAGTCCACTGTAGGCTATGGTGTGACTCATGGATTAGGAGCAGGAGTAGGACAAAGCAGGCCTCATGCTTCTTCTTAGGTGTAGTGGATAGACACAGGTTGAACTCAGTACTCTGAGAGGCACTTTAGAAACTTATATTCTTTCCTTTTTCTATGTGAAACAAGGTGCATCTTTAATGCCTCTTTGTCTACCATAGGAGGAAGGAGAATTGAACAAGAGTGATAGTTAGAAGGTTGGGACTGTTCAAGCCAGGTTGACACTAAGGAAATTACTCCGTTTAGGAGGAACACTTGAGTATTTTTGTATCCATGAAAAAAGACATCTTCCAGTGTACAGGGAATCTAAATTTCTCTGGGGGGATTACTCTAACATAACTGAATTTACAGGAGGGGCCATCTGGGAGGAGCAAAGTGACTCCCATGACTTTCAGAGGGATGTCACGTCTCTCCATGTCCTTACATGCGTATCTAGACCAAAAGGTTGCCACAAGCCTAAGGGGAATATTTCCTTTGTCCAGAGTCAACAGGAAATGTCATACTGGGAGGGAACTGGGGAAAACAGTCATCCAGATTGACTTGTCAATACCATACCCAGTGACAGTTACAGTGGTGATGACTAAAGAGAGAAGCTTGAAATAGTTTGAAATATGATAAAATTAAAAGTATGGAGTTCTTATAGTGTGGATGCCAAATGCTAAAAAAAAATTTTAATTGTGTTCATTTTACATCTGTATAAACTGAACCTAGGATGACAAAATATCTGGTCATGTTTACTTAATGCAATTGTGAGCAGAGTTGAAACCAGAACCCACAGTTCTTGGTTCTGTTCCTATAATCATTCTAACACACCCAGACCCAGGCTCTTCCTACTGTACCAAGACCTTAGAGGAGAATGTGAAGAGCCAGAATTAAAAGCATGTCAGCCACAGTGTGAGTCAGGAGTACCTGTGCATGTTGGATTTTTTACCCTGATCTCTCTCCCATCCTCTTTGGCCCCCAGAAGAATGAATCTGAGGTTAATCTGGATCATACTGGCCCATAGAATTTCCAAGCTTCAGTAAGATGCCCTGTCCTCTGCGATCCCCACAGGTTTCTTAGGCGATGAAGAATTTATGGAAAGGACTGAAGCAGATGGTTTTTCTCTCTGCAGACACCTTAGGGAGATGTGGTATGTCTGGTATATGAGTGAATGATGAAAATTAATTGAACCCAGTGATTTGGGGATACATATTATATAACAGTCATTGAAGGAGTAACATTGGCAACCCCTTAATAAACAGACAGTTCTTGCTGCCTGGTAGTCTAAGCCCTATCAAAATAAAACCTGAAATGAGTCTGGCTGACACTAAGGAGGAGATCACACATCTGCTAAGAGAAGCAGTTAATCTCTTCTGAGAGATAAACAGTCAGGAGGGCTTTGTTAAAGTTTGGGCAACTCCTTCACCAACTAGGCATTTTTCTAACCAATTGGGCCCAGTCAGAAGCATTGACTCAAATTGCACCCTCTGTCAGACATAGTGTGAATTTGAGTGTATTGTGTAATAAAGAAGCCACACCAAAGGATGGGACAGTCTGTATGATGAATGTTTGCCATTCCTGTTCCCTCTAGAAAAAAAGAGAAAATGGAAGATATAATGTACCTCTGACTGTCATTATTTATTCATTCACCTATATAAAAAATAATTTGGTTAAATAATTAAAATGTTCCAGACTTTGTGCTATATATTTGGGAAACAAAGATAAACACACTAAGGGTTTCATAGCATAGTAGAATAAACAAATGAACTGTATACAACCTGTTTACAATATAGTGTTTTTATTACAACATTAAAAATATGTTCCATGGTCTATGGGCTCATATAAGAGGAAGTATGCAAAGGTCAATTCAAAATAAATTAAATATATACCAACATACCTGACACTACATCTTCTATGCAGAGACTCATTCTCTAATCAGATAGGTGATTTGGTTGGTCATTTTAGTTGCTATAGCTCTAGCAGAATATTGCCTTCTGTAGAGAAACAAAATGATAGAAACCTCTTTTCTCTGTTTCCTGCGTATATGTTCCTTCAAATGCCTACTCATGATGTAGACCATCTTTTCTCTCACTTAATGGGACAAATTTTTAATTATGTATGACACCCAGAAAGTTGGGACCAATTTTGAACCATTTTATCCAAGATCTTCCACATAAGCACAGCCTCATTGTCTACTTAAAACTGCAGTATGGCTTGTCAAGCTACTAGACAGTGGCATGTCAAGAATGGAGTAAGAAAAATTTCTCCCTACTTACGGGACACTCAATAGCAATAACAATAGTAAGGAGCACCATAATGTTTATTGAGAGCTTGCATTATGCTT